ACCAAAAATGTACAAGCCAGGGAAGATGCCTGAATCCCGGATACTTTAGGTCTGTCACTTAGGGTGACCGCACCACTCCGACGCTCCCGAGAGTGGACGTCCATTGTTTGTAAGGCACCTAAGAGGGAGGAGGAAGAACGAATAATCCCAGCAGCCACTGAGTCCGTGATATATAGCTCCATAGCCTCCTTCTCAGGACGGGACAGGTTGTAGAGGCGGCTGGTGGGTAGAGGAGCCCCAGGAAACAGATCTATAGAGCAGTCGTAGGGCCGATGAGGAGGAAGAGAGAGAGCCCTCTCCTTGCTGAAGACCAATCTCAGGTCGTGGTAGGTCGCAGGAACTCCAGTTAAGTCTACAGAAGCAGCAGAGTTTGGGGAGACAGAGACAGGAGGTACGGCAGATAACAGACAGTTAGCGAGACAGTGCTGATCCCATTCAATGATCTTTCCCTTGACCCAATCAATGTGTGGGTTGTGGGTGCGAAGCCACGGATAACCCAATACCAGAGGTGTGGAAGGTGCAGAGATTACCTTTAACTGGATGAGCTCTCTGTGGTTGCCGGAGGTGATCAATGTCAAAGGGGCTGACTGTGCTGTTACAGAGGAGATTATTTGTCCATTAAGTGCATAGGCTGTTAGAGGTTCATCTAACGGCTCCAGGCAGAGTCCCAGCTGTTCAGCTAGCTCACGGTCCAAAAAACTATCCTCAGCACCAGAATCAATGAGAGCTTGGATAGGCAAAGTCATAGAATTAACACAAATCTTGGCGGGTATTAGAAAACGGCACAAAGAAGGAGGTAGAGAAGATGGCTGTGGACTCGTCAGGACCCCCAATCTCACTGACGAGCTCCCACGTTTGGGCGTACAGGACAGTTGGCAATGACATGCCCAGCGTTGCCATAATACATGCATTGGCCAGCACACGCCCGACGTTGACGCTCCTCCGGAGATAGTCTAGCGCGACCCAGTTGCATAGCCTCCTCGTGAGAAGAGGTGCGCCCGCTGGGCGGCGAGAAAACGGAGGGAGACTTAAACACAGAGGGAACAGGGTAGGTGGAAAAACTGGGCTTACTGTGTGAGACAGGTGGATTCCGCTGTGTCCGCTCAGCTCTGCGCTCCCGCAAACGACAGTCCAGGCGGGACACCAAGGAAATCAGATCTTGGAGATCCGCTGGAACGTCTCGTGCAGCTAATTCATCCCGGAGCTGATCCTTTAATCCTCTCAAAAACACCGCCTTGAGAGCCGCCTCGTCCCATCGAGCCTCTGCAGCGAGTGTGTGAAACTCGATGGAATATTCGGCCACACTCCGGTTTCCCTGTTGTAAACCGAGCAGCTGATTCTCGGCGGAGCCAGAATAATTGGGATGATCAAAGACAGCAGAAAAACGCTCAGAGAAGCATTCAAAACGCAGATTGTCATAGTCCACTGAAGAGCTCAAAGCCTCTGCCCAGGTTAAAGCCTTGCCACGGAGCAAACTCAGAACATAATTAATCCGGGTAACATCAGCTGCAAACGAAACAGGACGCTGGCGAAAAACCTTGTTACATTGGAAAAGAAATCCTCTGCATCTCTCCACCTCACCGTGGAATGGCTCAGGGTCGGTGATGGGGAAATCCTGGCGTGGAGTAGGAGAAAAAGCTGGATTGGGAGTGGCAAGAGAAACTGCAGCCGAGGTAGTTAGAGCTGAGATCTGGCAAGCTAACTCAGAGACATGATGAGCCATGGATTGATTGCTCTCGACTAACGCCCGAATGAGCTGGTCGTGTTGACCCAGAAGGGAACCCTGACTAGACAGGACATGATGGACTGTGGCGGGATCCGCTCCAGTGCCTGCAGGGTTCATTGTTGGCCAGTTCTTCTGTTACGCTTCCCGAGAAGTGACTGGAGATGAGAACCCGCTACGCAAACACTAGACGGAGACAGTGGTGAAGTGTCAAACAATAGTCTTTATTTGACCACGGCACAGGCAAGGTGTAGAGAGGAGCTCAGAGGAGACAGACGTGGAGCTGGATAGCTCAGGGGGAGACGGAGGTGCGGAGATGCACGGAGGGAGCACCGGCGTGGAGAGCCGGAGATCCAGAGCTGGCGAATGTAGACAGGATGAGCTGGTGTGCGTGGAGGCACGGAGGAAACACCGACGAGGAGAGCCGGGAATCCAGAGCTGGCGAACGTAGTCTGGATGAGCTGGTGTGCGTGGAAGCACGGAGGGAACTCAGACGAGGAGTCGGAGGCTGGACGTGGCAAGCAGAGCGGCAGGTGTGTGTAGGTCTGGAAGAATAAAGATGCAGGGTTAGAAAGGAATAACCTTTCACTAGGAGTATCAAAAGGTTTACTAGAATACTGCTAGTAGGCCTGGACGATAGTTTACCACTGAAGGATAAACGAAGAACTGGCGAAGTCTGAGGATGGGAACCAGGGTCTTAAGCAGGTGCAGGTGAGTAGTGGCAATCAGTGAGATTTACAACAGCAGTGGAGATGAGTTGGCGGGAATCAGAATGTAGGTCAGCCACGCCCAGCCAGGAAGACAAACAAACATAGAAGTGGCAAAGAAGGAGGAAGTACTGCAGATCCTCACATTAAGAGGTTAAAACCATTAACCACATCATCTGTATTATTAATAACATTATTTTTGTCCACAAAAAACTCAGGGTAACCTGAACTTTTTGCTCCATTTCTAATGACACTATTTAATACTTTCCATAAACCTTTCATATTATTCTTATTATTCTCTAATATTTTATTATAGTATTCTTTTTTACATATACATACATTATAATTTAATATTAAAGTGAACCAGCAGCAAATAACAGTCAGATCGTGTTCAATTTACTGAGTGCAATAAACAGACAATAAATAACAGCACGTGTTCCCAGAGGGGAAGAATACTGTAAATAAAAGATGCTACAGCAAAACGTTGAACCAATTTATATCATGACATGGGTACAGGCAATGTGACTTAAGTCTTACAGAAAATACTTGAATGACAGAGTAAACGTTTTTTTTGGTTTTTTTTAAATAAGAAAAAGGAGAGCTAAGACAAAACACAGGTAAACAAGAAACTAAGAGAGCAGACAAGGTAATACTAAACAAAAGATAAACAGCACAACTAAAGTAGACACAAAATGGGATGGCACGAGGAAAACAGGCAGCGAGTCCAGAGGAAGAAACAGCTGAAAGGAAACATGGTAGATAGAAACATCGATGAAACATTGATGAGTAGAACCACGGTAAACATCAACGCCCAGAAAAACTCTGGGAAAGAGAGGCGTATGTACACACAGAACTAATGACTAACAAAAGACAGGGCGGGGGAAAGAAATCACAAAAAGGCGGGAAGAAAACAAAAAGGGCGGGAAAACAAAGACAGAGTGAAGAGTTTTTTAACTTTGATCCCTCCTGGACTTAACAATCCATTTACAGCAGAAGATAAGTGTTTTAAGAGATTCCACAGAGCCTCTCGCTGACCTCCCACAGTTTCCGGGCCACGGCGGTCTGAGCGCCGGCCTCCGGCTCCATGAACCTCACCGCACGTCATTGGGCTCGATGAACACCTTCTGCCACAGACTGACGTGACGGGACAGCTCGGTGCGAAGTGCGAACCACACCTGCAGGAAGAGAGACACCTGGGTCAATGCAAGCATGAGGTAAGACAATACTACAACTTCACACTAACACACCCGGCATCACAGGTGTGGTGGGTTGTACCTGTAACCACGCCCACAGCTATTTCAGGAATACTGAGGTTTTGATGTTCGACAAAATGTAACCAGCACAACCCCATTCACATGAGAAATGCTTCACTAGCTATGAACTAAAGAGGGGGTTTTATACAGAGACATTTTTATTTTTATTTAAACTCCCTACATAATGGTCTAGTGCCACGTATGACATCTTTATTTCCTTTCATTCGAATATGAGTCAGCTAGTCTATAAATATCTTTCCATCTTTTAAAAAGCCAAAACGTGTAAAATAGTATACAATAAAGAACATAGACTTCTCTTAAAGTCATCGTAAACAAGTCAAATAGTTGCCGCCTGTCCATGTCACATCAAAGTCATTCTAGATAGGTTTGTTTCTGAATGATTACATACAGTTCATTAATTCAAGCTCTGCAGTATCTGTCTGGAGGTGTGACTGTGTGAAGATCAGCTGTCTTTATTCTAACGGAGCGCTGAAAAGACTCACTGAAGACACTGAAGCTCTGCAGCCACCAGGAGTCCTCCTGAATCAAAAGTAAGAAGTATATGTTAAAAAAACTAGAAATACTACATATATTATAATATTACAAGTGAGAGTAATTGATTCAATTATTATTGGATTATAATTAAATTAATTTTAATGCCTTCATCCATTAAGTGTTGCAACTGAAAAGGCTTTAGGACTTCTCTTTTTCTTTGGGTTTGTAAATGTACCACAAGGAGCTGCCCAGCAGATGTCGCCATTTATGACTGCAACAAATGCTTCGAAACCATGAACCAACTTCAACATTATACAATGGAACATTTGAACATCAATGTAAGTAAAAGTATTCTCATCTTCTTGTAGTAAAAGTACAGAAGTATCCTCAGCTTCATGCTGTACTCATAGAACAGTGAAATGTGACTGATATCTGATTCTATGCTACATTAACACATTGTTGATCCTGAAGCATCAGAGCAGATTTCTACTTTCTGCTCCAGGTGAAGTCGTTTTCAACACTTTATATAGAGTTTAGTCGGTCGAGCCCCTTCAAAGGGTCCCCAGATAAGTTAGGCTGGGTATTCTGTTCAATCTGTTTGATTTATTTTTAGATCATTTGTATCTACTATCTCTTTGATAGTCTGCAAGTTGACAACCCTAACCGTAACCATAGTGATGAGGCAGACTGGAAATGGGGAGAGGTTAAGACGAGCAACAATAGGCACTCCTTTTTACTTTCTCTGTCGTAGTTGCTCAGGTGTTATACAATTCAGCTTGTCTTCCTTAACCTGATTCGTCACATTCCTGCGACAGTCAACCGCGAGGCACTTTCAGTAAACTAAAAGTAACGCTTACTTTGTGATCAGTTTATAAGAAGAGACGGAGAGAATCTGATTTAGGTTATTTCGTCATGAAGATGAAGGCGTTAGTGGGGTTTCTGACCCTCGTACACGGTATGATTACCTTCTTCTTTCTACTCTCATGACTCCAGCTTTAGTTTCATGTAGCCTCGTAAATCAGCAGCTGAAACCAAAGTCTTGATTTAAAATGAACACATTTCAAGGATGCTAAAATCTAATTTAATGATTTATTACAATTAAAATGGAGTTTGTGTTTTTGTTGTGAAATTCACTGCATAGAAACAATAATAGAAATTGAAAATAAAAGCAGAAGCAGACACAGATCTAATCTCCTGTTTCATATGACCACTTCAATTGAATATGTAAAATACATTTGTTAGTGTCATTTTGAATGCTTACTTTACTTGTAAGTATTTTATACTTTTAATTAAAACAATCTGATTAGTTCTACCACCACCATCATTTGGTACCGTCTGCATGTTCCTTTTTTTGGGAGCAAGTTGTAAATTATTCTTATTTCAGTTGGGTTAGATCATTAAGATATTTATCTATTTATCTAGCTTTGGTAAATTCTTAAATGCAAGTGTTTCTGAGTATTTGTAGGATAAAAGTTTTCTCTTTATATAAATGTCTTTGTACATTTATTATAAACTTCATTATATATACATTTTTTTGTGTGTAAACAAACAAGCAAATAAAATAATACATTTATAATTGAAACATCTTTTTGTGTGTCCTTCAAGTTTCCCAGCAATTTTCAGCTGTTGTAAGCGTGTATGAGGGGGTGGAGTCTGTCCAGCTGCCCTGTCAGTCACCTAGGTTACCTGAGGACACAACAGTGGTGTGGGAGCGATACGATTCCCATCCCTCAACTGTCCACCAGCATCAGCATCAGGTATATGAGCATTATCTTCAAAACCAGCATTACAGCGGCCGGACATCAATGTCAACTGATGCTCTGGAAACTGGAGACCTCAGCCTCACTCTGAAAGAACCCCACCTCTCTGACAGTGGCGTCTACATCTGCCAAAGGTTCAGAAAGGAAGAGGAATTATCACCCCGATACACAATGTTACTGGAGGTCAAAGGTGAGGAACATCCCTACCCCCACCCCCATTAAACATGCAGGTTGGGGGTAAGTGGAGAAAACATTATATTGTGCTTTCTAGTGGATAAAACATGAGTGCCCTGTAGGGAAACATTTAGTGTGGAAAACATGATACAACTAGAAAATGCATTTCCTGTGAATGCTGTAAACTGTGTACATTTGTTGCTGAATTTAGCTGAAAATGCAGAAAAGGCTAAATATTTTATTAGTTGAATAGTAGCTGCTTTTAGCTACAAAAAACAAGTAAGTGTGTTGCTGAAATTAGCGGAGAAATGCAGAAAAGTGAAATTATTTGAATCAAAATTGTTACAGATCAAATGCATTGCAATGACTTTGTTGAAAACTTGAAAGTGCAATGTTAAACTGGAAGAGTAGGAAAAATAGTGAAGAAGCTTAATATTTTAAAGAAAAGGTATAAACAACTAAATGTATAGCCTCCATGTCCTGAAATAGCTGAATAATGTAATAGTTGAATGGTTTCTGTAGCTGAAAGTAGGCTGAAGGAGTTAGATATTAAATGTAAGTAGTAGTGAATGAATGTGTATTAAGAAGAGAAAAGAAAGTAAAAACGCAGCAGAATATTTTTACTGCAAACTTTTGAACTAAAACCAAAAGTCGCCAATAATGTATAAAATATGTGGAACGTGTTGAAGTCAGTATGAAGTCTCCATCACGGCCCCTACACACGGCGGCGTGCGTTGACGCTTCAACGCTTCTGCCCATTCACTTTGAATGGGGTGACGTCATGCTTCCCCGAACTGCATTAGTAGAGCAATGTTCTACTTTTGAAGCTTCGACGGAAGCGCCAGCCAATCGAATCATATGCCAGTACAAGCTCTAGCCAATCAAACCGCTGCTTGTGTGTCCGGGGCGGGAGATTCAGGTGATTGGTTGTTGGTGTAGCTTCAGACATGCCCGCCGGCAAGCGTCAACGCACGCCGCCGTGTGTAGGGGCCGTCAGAGAGAAAATAATAGGCTGAGACAGTCTTTAAACTCCAGTCTGTGTGTTTGTGTTTGAGGTGATGACGTTATCAAACACCTGTGTGTGTAAACCCAGAGATCAGAGGTTACCATGGTGATAACGTTATCAAACACCAGAGTGTGTGAGCCCAGAGATCAAAGGTTACCATGGAGATGTGCAGTGAAAGGAGAGCCTTTCCATTGTTCTGAATGAGAAATAAACCTCTTACATTTCTAACTTTTGTTGAAAACCGTAGCAGCTATCGGTAAAATGTCAACGCGTGGAGCATGTCAGGACCCTGAGGAGTGTCTCAGTCTGCTTTTGGTGTACTTTCGGGTCAATAATGTGGCGTTTTTAGCAAATTTACTAAAGGTGTGCAGTTGCTGCTCTGACGAAAGATCAGGCTGAATTTACAATGGGCCTTAATGGAGACATGTTGAACGTTGTTGTCACTTCATGCCCTCAAAAGGCATTTTGTTTAATTGTTTTGCTTAATATTTTTTTATTTTCAACGTAGGAGAGGTTTTCCTAGGTTTTTCATGAAAAATGATGTCCAAGGAGTGTAGGGTTTGGGAATTATGGCAGGTTTAAAATAAAAATGTAAGGTGAATTTCAAGCTCTCCTCGAATCTAGCTGTGACATCACGCACTCTAAGCCTTACGCAGCGTCCACACGGCGGCGTGCGTTGAAGCTTGCCGGTGAGCTTGTCTGAAACTCGACCAACAACCAATCACATGAATCTCCCGCCCCGGACACATAAGCATGCGGTTTGATTGGCTAGAGCTTGTACTGGCATATGATTTGATTGGCTGACGCTTCCGCCGAAGCTTCAAAAGTTGAACATTGCTCAACTTTTTGAACGCGAGCAAAGCGAAGCAACGCTCCCACAATGCAGTTCAGCAAAGCGTGACGTCACCCCATTCAAAGTGAATGGGCAGAAGCGTTGAAGCTTCAACGCACGCCGCCGTGTGGACGGGCCGTTAACGAGCTGCGCAATACACACTAATGTTAAAATCTGAAGAAGGTCTCTTTACCGTTCGCACTAATTCTCTCTAAGGTGGCATTGATGCAGTGGATTTCAGGCTGTCCTACATGCTAGAAAGCTTGGTGCCCTACCACATGCAGCTCGTGTCCTTTAATTGTTTTCACCCCAGCCCCTCCAACAGCCTCCAGCCTGTCACACATGCTGCCCGTTGGCCTTTATATCAATTGTTTGCTTCTACACTAATGCTCTGAACGCCATGTATATAACCTTTTAAGTTTGTAAAGATTTCTATGCATATATGTGTAGGTATTTGTAAATGTAATAGTTTTGTGTTTTTGACGTGTAAAGAAGTTACTTTAGATAATATATACATCAATAATTGAGACATAATTTAGTGTCTCCTCCCAGTTCCTCAACATAACTCAACAATTAGCGTGTATGGGGGGGTGAAGTCTGTCCAGCTGCCCTGCCAGTCATCTAGGTCAAGGTCCGCGGGTCATTTGGTACCGGGCCGCAGAGAAAGATTGAATAAAAAAATACTTTATACAAATATTATAAAGAAATATTTTAGAAAAATATTATACAAAAATATTTTATTGATTATTAGTCTGAAAGATATTTTATTTTTCGCGTGCCGTGAGTTATTACAGTGATACATTTTTTGGAACCAGCCCAACTCATGGAAAACCGCCGATCTGGCAACACTGAGCGCGAGAGCAGTCTGGACTCTGGAACGTCATTACGCTGTGACGCGCTGATTGGCTGTACGATACCCCAAATATTAAGCCCACAAAAAGCCCTGCTAAAAACAAGCTAGCAAAAATGAGTGCAACACAAACTTCTTTAAAGAGATTATTTGGAAAGGGGAAAAGACCCAATGAGGAGACAGAGGAAGAAGAGCCTACGACTTCAAAGAAAAAGAAAGCTGCATTTAAAAGACAATATCAGTAGTCCGACTTAAAGTATGGGTTTATCGCTACAGGTGATTCTCATGCTCCTAGCCCGCTCTGCATAATATGTGGCAACTGGCTAGCAAATGAGGCAATGAAGCCTTCAAAACTGCTTCGGCACATGGAGACCAAGCACCCTGGATTAAAAGACAAGCCTTTGGAGTATTTTTAAAGAAAAAAAAGTGAGCAAGAAGGACAGAAGCAATTACTGATGGCCACCACATCAAACAAATGCGAGTGCACTGAGAACATCATACTTAGTGGCTAACCGTATTGCTAAGGCGAATAAACCTTTTACTATTGGTGAAGAATTGATCCTTCCAGCCACGAAAGCTGAATCGAGCTTGTCCGTGCCAGAAGAAGATCAACTGCTGGAGATTGCAAATGACGTTGGCCTTAAAGGTTTGTTTCAGAAAACAACTCTTCCGATGTTCTGGATTAAAATCAAGGCAGAATATCCTGAGATCGCCTAAAAAGCACTGAAAACCCTGCTTCCATTTCCAACATCCTACCTTTGTGATGTGGGATTTTCTACGGAGTTCATAAGGAACACACTTCGGGTGTCATTGTCTCCCATTACCCCTAGATTGTTGCAGAGACACAAGCCCAGGGCTCCCACTAATTCAGCGTAATGGTGAGTTATATCTTATGCACTTTATATTTGTTTTGATGCCGGTGTTCCAGTTGAACTGGTTATTGTGTTAACTGGTTAGATCTGCTTACACATTTACTTTTATTAATTCTTTCTTTTGCAGATGTGCGAGAGACTTTGAGACAGCAAACTGTGTTGAGTCAGTATTTGAACGGGCAGATTGTCTGTAAACTGCAGCATATAAATGAAGCTTGCAATAAATAAATCAAATTGATTGAACTATAGCCGAGGCAATTAAGGTCTGAACCCATGCTTTGAAAAACGCTACTTTACTTGCATGTTATGTAATCGTCTGTGCCGCGGTACCGTAGACAGGTTTTTTTTTTTGTTGCAATTATATGCCTTTGTGGTATGTTTGATTGCAACATTCAACCCAATGGAAAATAGCTAACGTTACAACCATAGACAGAACGAAAGCAGATCTAACCAGTTAACACAATAACCAGGTAAACAGGAACACAGGTCGTATTATTTTATTTCGTCATATTTATCCCCCCACAACTTGAAGGCTGGTCCGCGAAAATATTATCTTACATGAAACCGCTCCGTGGCGCCAAAAAGGTTGGGGGCCGCTGGTTTAGGTTACCCGAGGACACAAAAGTGGTTTGGAGCCGCTTCGGTTTTAATCCCTCAGCCGTCCACCAGCATCTTGACGAAGATGAGCCCCGTTTTCAAAACCAGCATTACAGCGATCGAACATCTATGGCAGCTGATGCTCTGATAACTGGAGACCTCAATCTCATTCTGAAAGAACCCCAACTCTCTGACAGCGGCGTCTACACCTGCCACGTCCATCACAATGAAAATGAAATGTCAAGGGTAATTGTGCGCCTGCAGGTTACAGGTAAGGAACAAACCCTAACCCCTACTCTGTACATACAGGGCAGAGTAAGGTGGACATGGAAGGATTATCAGAACTACTTATTACTTTATTAGAATACTGTGGAGGAAACTTCTGTGTAGTAATGCATGGAGTCACCGACTCAGGAAGGAGACACGGTGAGAGTTGGAGCTTTGATGTCAAACACTGATGGGTTTATTCAGAGTATCGGCCGGAGGATTCACATCACAAATCAAAGAGTCAGAGGTTCTGACTTCACGGTAGAGTTGCCACGTCAATTCTGAAGAGCCTATCTCTATGCTAGACCTTTTAACTGGTTCACAGAGAGTAATCAACATCTCTGAAGGAGTAGACTAAACAGCTGGGAACACTGAACCACCTGCGTCCGACACTCATGGCCTCAAAGATTTCACATCTTAGAGTCCACAAACACCGATAAAGAAGTGCCTCAGCGTTCTCACAACAATTACCATTCGTGCCAGACAAGTTGACCGGTCACAAACTGATGACAACAACACATATGGCACCAAGGCCTTTCCTTAAAGGAGATAACAGACGTCAGAGTAGATCATAAAACGTCACAGAGCAAAA